TTCAAGCCTAGAACTGAAATGACCCTCAATCCAACTTCCAGTAAAATAGTAAAGAGTAGAAATGCCTGTAAGGTGAGTGGGGAGCTCTGGTGGCTTAGTGTTAAGGAATTGTACTGCCAACACCAAGATAGGTGGTTCAAATCCATAAGCTGCCCAGTGGGAGAAAAATAGGCAGTCTCCTCCCATGCAATTTATGCCTCTGAAAACAAGCTGGAGGGTCAGCCATGAGTCAGTGCTGATTCAATGGCAGATAAGAACAAGGTAAAGTGATTAAGAAGAGAGGAATACACTCGTTAGGACAATCAACCACACAAAATTGAAAATGCAACATTTGCTCAGGGATCACATTCAGAAGGCCAGAGGAGGTAGGAAAGAAAGATGACTGGATGGAAATGGGAAACACAGGGAGGGAGTGGGAAATTTTCCAATGAAGGGATAGTAATGCGGGTCACAAAGCACAATGTGCATGAATTGTTGAATGGAAACCAATTTGCTTTCACACAAATCAAAATGAAAAGAGAGATTGTTTGTTTGTTTTCCCAAAAAGGTAATTAAGTGGTCAAAGGTTAAGAGGGATCATGTGATGATATTAAGGGCTTAGTGTTCAAAATGGCTTTCCTAGCCATTGAATTTGACTTTGCCATGTAGATGGGTGGGAATATGCAAATAGGGCATGTTAGCCTATCCACAAGGGGGTTGGCTGTTCTTGTGATTAAATTGAGCAGATCCAGCAGAAAAGGAGAAACCGCACCACCAGAAGACAGCAAGCAAGGGAATGTAACTCATCCTTCAGGACCAGAGATGCCAGACAGACCAGGAGGGACGATGGCAGCAGCAGCCATGGACAAAGCCTGAGGACCAGAGACACCCACATGAGAGGGAGTGACCTTGGGATTGCTACCCACATGGAACCAGAGTTAAAAGCCTTTTGCCCAGGGCTCTTGTTGGATTACTGAGGGAGGGAAGAACCATCATTTATAGCGCTCAGAATTTGTAACACTAGCCTAAAGCCATGAGAATCAAAGTTGAGGTCCCTGTGAGCGTGTGTCAGAATCTGTCTTGACTGTATTCTGCTACTAACCTGAATTATAGCCTTTTGACTTTCCCAGTTTGGTTCTTCTGTGAGCTATTGCATCATATTTTGGACCCAGTAAAGCAATGAGATAGGTGTTGAGGTGAGTAGAAAGAGGTGTAGAAGTGTGGGGGACATGTCTGACCTCATGGGAATTGATTTTGTGTTGTTGATGCTGTCAGGGACAGTTCTTCTTTGTGAACTTACTTGGTAATGGTCAGATACGGCCGTCCCCACGCAGCCTTGCTCACCTTGCAGATCGTAAGAAGACACATCCATTTACACTATATTGGGAATCTTTTGTTGTTGTTAAGTGCCGTCGAGTCGCAGGCGACTCATAGCAACCCTATGAAGGAGAGTCCTCAACATTTGTGTGACTTTCATCCTCTCTCCAGATTGGGAATCTAGAAGTGATTTAAAGTATACAAGAGGATGTGTGAACATTATATCCAAAGATTACACTATTTTCCATAGGATTTCTAGTTGTTACTATTGCATACTGTTGAGTTAAAATTGACTCATAGCTGACCCTCCAGCAGGGTTTTCAAATTCAAGGACTTGAACATACTCGAATTTGGATATAGGGCAAGAAGTTCTAGAAAAAATTGCCTGAAGATACCAAGGGATGACTGCACATCCACATCTATAGTCCTAACTACACTAGATAGAAAAGTGAGACTTATCTGGGGATCAGAGAAAGTCCTAAAAGGGTGAAAGCAGATGGATTTGAGCTACAGCTAGGAAACAAGTGGAAGCAGCCAGGCTGTGGACCCTCTCCCACTAACACTAACCAGATGATGCAAAAAGTGTTGGCCTCCAGGTGGACACTCAAGTGTAGGCTCTCAGGAGAAGTGTCTGTCAGTGCCGGGGAGCCCCATACCTGAAAGCAGCTAACCCTCTTGTGAGCAGGCTCAGAAAAAAAGAAAAAAGAGGGGGATAGGATCTAATAGCAGTTCCAACTACAAAGATGAGCATACACCCAAAAATCACCAAACACTTGAGGAAAGCCAACTCTATTGAAGGAGACTTGTTTGCTGCATCAAGTCAGGCAGAGTTAGAGTGTAAGCCCATCACTGTGATGTGCCCAAGACTGCTCAGGGAGGTGTTCTCTTAAGTAAAACTGTATGTTCAGTCAAGGGACCTGCAGGAGAGAACGTTTGGTAGAGAAACCCACAGGCAGATGGGGGAGAATTCACCTGCCAGCCTGGACAGGAGTCGAGCTCCTGACCGTCATTGAGCACGTCCGACTACCTGTGGTGGCCGTAAGTGCCATTGACTCGGCTCCAGTTCATAGCAAGCCTGTCAATGGTCGAACGAAGCAGGTGTTCTACCCCAAATGCCACTGGCCTACCCCAAAAGGGAGCCACCTCAAGGCTGTTTCTGTCTTGGAATTCTGAGTGGAAAACCCTCACCTGCTTGGTGGTGGTTGTTGTGTGCTGTTAAGTCAGAACCATCCCATAGGTGATCTCCCCCTTGCAGGTTTTCAGAGACTCCAAATCTCACAGGAGGAGATTGCCCGTCCTTCTCCTGTGGAGCAGCCGGTGGATTTGAACTGCCTGCCTTTGGGTTGGCATTTACCACTAACCAACAGAGCTCCCTTATCCTTTGCTTAGTAGTTACTAAGATTGCTTGATTTGGGATATCTTTTTAATCTATATCTCATCTCTTCATGTGTGTGGGGAGGGGTGTGTGCACGTGCGCATGCATTTTGAGGGATGGGGCTTTCAAATTAGCTTCCTTGTTTGTTTTCACAGATCCTAGCAAGAGTCCTAGTAGCACAGTGGTTAAGCTTACACTTGCTAACTGAAAGATTAGTGGTTCAAACCCAACAATACACCTGCTCTAGACAAGAAAAACACAGCGGTCTGCTCCTTAAAGATGTTGTTACATGCAATGGAGTCAGATCACCTCATGCTGACCCTCCAGCAGGTTTTCAGGGACTTGAAATTGCATAAGAAACTGCCTTTCTTCCTCAGAACAGCTGGATTTGAACAGGTGGATTTGAACCGTCTGCCTTTATGTTGGCAGCACAACCCTTTACCCACTAGGCCAGCAGAGCTCCCTTCTGTAAAAGTTACTGCCTTGGAAACACAAAATGCAGCTCTATTCTGTCCTGTAGGGTCCCTAAGACTAAGAATCAACTTGGCAGCATTGGGTTTGGTTTTTGGATGAAACAGCAAAATTCTATTTACAAAGGAAATAGTTGAGAAGCCTAATCAGGGTCTCTGTGTAAAAATCATCGTCTTAAAGCTTCAAAGGCAGATAGAAATATAAGAGGCCACGATTCTTTCTGTTGAAGGGAATCCCATTTTATTGCCCCCAACCTGGAAGGAGGGAGACACCTGAGTTCACTCAAGCTTTGGGGAAGATCGAGGCGACCACAGACGGCCCGTTTCCTGGCCTTTTGAGTCCAGGACAGCGGAGGGGAGGCTGGGGGATGCTAACTACAGGTCAGATGGAAGGGAACATCCTCAGAAAGCTGTGTCCTCAGCCTGAGCCCGAGGGCCGAAGAGCAGCTCAGCAATGGCCTTGCCGTCATACTTGGGCAGTGAGCCCCCAAAGTCAGCGGGCAGGATGTCTTCGTCGATCTCCCGGAAGAAGCCAGAGAGGTCGTCTCCGTGGACGTAGACCTGCGGGCGCAGGGAGGAGTCAGAGCTGAGGAGGAGTGCCCTGCGGGCGCAGGGAGGAGTCAGAGCTGAGGAGGAGTGCCCTG